ATCAGTATTATTGTAAAACTATATTTTATCCTTTCCTTCCATCGGGCACAATAAGCATTTTGGAAATTTGTGCCCACTAGGGGACAAAAACAAAAGGTGTTATTAATGATAATTGTCAATGAACAATTCGAATGCGTGACACGACACCTGACCTGACGAATTATTTATCGACAGCGTACATTGATTACACCTTCTAGACAGTACAGTTACAGCGTCAGTTATTGCCAAACAACTGAGTTGAAAACGTAAATTGACCACCATAAAGAGTTTAAAGGCTGACGTTTCGAGCGTTAGCCCTTTGTCAGAGCGATTGAGTTTCGAATGATCTGGTATGGACTTGAGAAATATCACCCAAGAAAGAAAGAGCGCTTTTGACCAACTTCAGAAAGCTGTTTAACGGGTGTTTTTAAATCAATTATGGTGAACCTCTGAATAAACACATATCAAATTTGAAATGCTTTTCAAATCTCTTATATATCACACAATTTAGGAATACAAACGATTTCTTGCTGCATGTAGTGTATTGCGAGGAGCGAACTTGTCAACTTTTGAAAGTTCCGATGTCGCAAGAGGTTAAAAAAAGGCCTTTTCTTGAGCTTTGATTATTGAGAGCTTTAAAAAAATTTTTTGACGTATTTCCAGAAACCAATGCAGTTTTATTTACTTGCTACCAAAGATAGTTTAACGGGCAAAGTTTGTGGCAAAACTTTTTCCGATGCGAACACCTTGGACCGCTCTTACAGAGATCGCTATTTAAGTTTCAATTCTTCTAATAAGAAAACAGCTTCAGTGAATGGGAACATCTATCAACACCGGTGTTATTTTCAATAATGTAAAGAGATAACCTGGGTGATACGTTAAACGAGCGGCTTTATTTTACTTACTCATAGTCTTACAATGATCATTAGTTATTTATTCCGCTAACAAGTAAGTACAGGCCTCGCGTCGAAAGCATCGCCATGACTTCCTTCAGTTTACACGGTTTGATAACAAATTAGATGTGTGGAGGAGTACACAGATTTTACCAGATCGCATTCAGAATTTATCTTTCTCCTTAATCACGTTGAGATGGTCTTTTCGCTTCACAGTAGCTTATAATTAAGCTGTGTTTGAGTTGGAGATCAACACAGATGACTGAATATAAGTTTATGTGTAGCTAATTGTAATCAAGCTTCCGTCATGCCCAAGTTAGTCATTACAGCGCTATTCGTCAACGCAAGTAGCATGCAAAGAGCAACATTTGATCAACATAATCTTAACTTAAGAACAAGTGTCTGTAAAAATTAAATCGGTCACTTACTAATCGATAATTTTTCTCACAATTGTTTTAAGATTTTGAGACTAATTTGAAAAAAAAGTTGATTTTGTTTCCTTTTATTATCGATTCGACACTCTATGTTTCCCTTGGCTAAAAGCTGCACTCGTTTTTTTCTTTTAATATAGAAAGTTTTAAGATCCAATTACATCATTTTTCCGTTTTCGTTAGCCGTTATTCGAGCAGTGGTCATCCTCATGATTGTTGGAGGCCATTTCGGAAAATGCCATAATACTTTTTCATACGCATTTTGGGTGACACGTCATCAGTTCTTATTTGATTTTCAACCCATTCTCCCCAGCTGATATTTTTGGCTCTCTATATGGATTCCTCAGCCATACAGAGTGCTTCTGTACAGGGTTTGTTCGCGCTTTCCGAATTCCAATGCGTCACCTTAATAAAGGAGTCATGGATAATTTCGCCTCACGCGTGAAAGAGTATTATGGTATTTTTCGAAGTGTCCTATCTGCCTTCTTCATCTTACGTACATCGCCAGACACAAAATATAAATCTGCAGTAACACCACCCTAGTCTAGTCCATGTCCATCGCCAATAATAGTAGCAGTAACGGAGACATATTCGGCGTCTGAATCTCTTACCAACTGCAAAAATGAGAAAAGTCAGTGTATTACGTTGCGCACCCTTAAAGCGCATGGGTTCATGCAAGATTCTCTAAGCCAGGGCTTACTTAGTAATGATAACCATGAATTAAGACAAAACACTTAATGTAAAACCATGCTGTCCCTGTAGATGCCAAAGAGGAGCGTAAATAAAGGGGATAAGCTTTTAAAGAAACTGAAACATTCGCTCTGACGAAGGGCTAACGCGCGAAACGTCAACTTATTTTTTACGGTGGCCAATTTACGTTATCAACTCAGTTGATAATACTAAATGACCCTACGATCTTAAATAGCCCGTTCGCAGTAGTGCACTGTGATAAACAATACTTTCCGGAAAATAAAAATGAATTATTGAATGGGTTGTTTTAGAGCAAACTGGATACTTAGTGAAGGTGCTGAAAAGTGTTCAATGTCATGTGTTTACTTGAACCGAAACCCTGGACTTATAAGAACAAATATCAGAGCTTGGAAAGAAATGAAGGACTTCCAAACTCATCAAATATGCTGGCGAGATTTCTGATCGGAAAGGTTCGGAGACCACTATTTTTCGAGTGACGCGTTCGCTTAGCCTCTCCTTTAACGTACCAACTAGTCAAATTAAAGGCTCTACGATAAGGTTTGACTGCAGACGAACGATTTTGGCGTCAAAAAGTAAAGAACTGGGGCTTGACTGAGTTTAAAAAATCGCAGCCACATCGAACGTAAAGTAAAAATTGACGACAAAACACAAGGAATCTTACCACTTCTCTTCTTAATGTGATAAATTGGCAGCTTGGAACACATTTCTGCCATTTCCTCGCTCAAACTTGATCGGTCGCTGACGATACCATCAACTTCGTAATCGAGCCTTGACGAATTTCCAGCTTGTGGGGCCTGTGATGTACCATTCATCTTGAAAATATTTTGAATAGAAAAAATAAATTTATTTAAGGGGAGTCTTTTTAGCCGGACTCATTTGTAGAAACATTCCGATTAAAGTTGGTTTTGAAACCATCTATATCCAGTGTTCACTGATTGGACCCAAATTATTAAATTGCACAAAACAAGAAAATATGTCAGTTTTGTGCAATGATCAGTAATTACGGACCAGAAAAGTGAGCTTAAATTTTAAATGAACTCACCTGGTCCAGTGCTCTTTTGAGATCGTTGGGTCTAGGAGCATTTTCAGTGATGTTACTCAAAAAACAGGCTTTTTGAGCAGACATTCGACGCATGACTAAATTCTACAAAAGGAAAAGTAACTTCATTTCAGGGAGGCGCTACAGGAGCAATAACGAAATATTTGAATTGCAAAGAGAGTTGTTTTTAGCAAATATTCGATAAAGAAAAAAAAATGCCAAATTAAATTAACTAGACACACAGTTCTAAATAAGTAAGTTTATAATCCCACTCTTCCTTTACTTACTCTGTTAAAATCGTAAATAACGTCCACCTCCCCAGCGTTGGAAGAATTCATCTTTGGGATGTGAAAAGTCTCCGTTTGATTTTTGGTGTCGATTGTAATATTTTCAATGTAATCTTCACCATCGACGTTGATTTTAACTTTGTACTGAAACACGGTTGAATTCTACGAGAAAAAAAGGAGAAACATGAATACTCTAACTTCTTCTGCGGAATGCTTTTCCCTTGATATTAACTGCAAAAGAAAGACACATACATCTAACTTCAATAACCAGGGCTACTTTTTTCTTTACCTTTTCATCCGGTCCGCACTCTTTACAGCCAGGGGCTGCAGATGCAGCGATAACAAACAACAGTAAGAAACAAAGTTGGAAACATTTCAGCTCCTAGTAATTGAGACAAACGAGAGCATTTTAACTCAAACCATAAGCTAAAATCTCAACACTGGTTCAATGTAAACGAAAAACATTTAGAGCGGCAAACTCACCATCTTTCCGAAATGAAATCTTGAAAGATCTTGACTTCTGAGTGTAGCAAAGGCTTGCTAGTTTATCCTCAGTATTCAGGGCGTAGCTTTTTTATACCATTTGAGATATTCCAATTCAACTGCTTCGCATTTCTAGCCTTATATCATGAAGTTACGATATTTACAACTAAATTGGAATCGTTGTCTCAGTATCGTCTTAGTTCTTGTAGAGATGCTATCAAGTTGGATCAGTTTAGCAGCCATACTGGTCTTGACACTTCAATATCACTTTAGTATTGTATTTCAGCGAAGGTAACAATGCAACGTGATATGTATAGAATTATCATTACTTTGACGGGCATTTTGGTGCATATTGCAAGCGAAAATAGATATTTTGGCTTTTAGCCCGCTCTCACATTAGCTTGATTGTTCAAACTGTTTCGTTATTATTTTTTTTCAGCTTTCATTTTCTCCACCCCATCCAAAGCGATAATAACAGTAAAACAGTCTACGTCCTTGGGCACGAACTGTTTCGTTGTTATGTTTTTTTTTGTTTTTTTTTTTCAGTTTTTATTTTCTCCATCTACTCCAAAGTGAAAATGATAGTAAACCAATTAATGTTCATGGGCATAAACATGTTTTAGGCGGTCAAGCCCTCATCATACGACTCGGGTTAAAATGATCCTGAAAAGAGCCCAAAACATATTTGTGCCCAGGAAGATAAATAAACTGCTTTGTTTTAACAAATAAAGTTACTCAATCCTTCTTTAAGACGAGAAAAGACAGGTATATTTCAAAGTCCAAATAACACAAGTTGTTTACTTCCTTAAGCTGACCTTTGTACACTTGCGCAAACACTGATATATATAGAAAGGAATTCTAATACAAAAATATCCAAATATGGAAAAAAATTCGTAATACTTAGGAAATATGTTGTTATATCAGTCCTAAAGCTTCAATACAGAGTTATAGCTAAAGTTTTCCAGTGGGCAAATTTCGAGTTCCACACCGTCCCGCAATTTTATTTTTTATTAAGTTAATTACTAATGGTGGAACCTTGTTGTTTGTAATTATTATTACTGGAGTAATTTTGAAACTGTAAATGAATAGAGACAACTCTCTTTAGATTTTCGAAGACTTGAAAAGACTTGTGACTGAAAATATTTTTTTGAACATAACATGAAAAAATTTGTGGATTAGTGAACTCACTGGTAACATCTGACTCGGTGATACGGTGTGTGATTTGACAAATATTGACCCAACCGACCACTTTTGCCAGTTGTTTACCCTACCTTATTAATAAAATTTTATAAACTAGGAAGTATTATGACAAGAAACGCTAATTCGGTGACGCAGAAATTGAGAAAGATATTCTTACAAAATGGCGCCAGTCTGAAAGAGACAAAATCAAGACAAAAATATGAAGGAAACGTAGACTCGTGCGTTGATTGATTGCATGCTCTCCAAATGAACCAGCTATGCAGATTTTTATCTCATCACTAGCATAGCATCAGCAATACTCTGTCATTCATTTCTCAGGAAAAATCTAAACCAGAAGCGCATGGCTCTTTCCATCACATTGCATCATACATATTTTCAAACATGTTGGTTCTTTATATTTCAGAGCAAGATATTTTAATATTAAAACTTTCAAACCAAAAGGAAAAGAAAGCACAGGGGCTTTTACACAGCCGCAAGCAATAAACATAGAATTTACTTCCTCTTGGTAACAGTCTGCTTTCGATATTTCAAACAATTTCAACCACCGCCCACAACATACTCCACCGAAACTGACACCTTCGGGATATTGGGGGAATGTTTTGATATTGGCCAGTATGGGCTAGTATTGGCCAGTATTAGCCCGTATTTGTCGCGCAAACATGGCGAGGAAAGCAACAGGCATTGCTAAAGCATGATATTAAGAAGGTTTGTGAATTAAACTAAAGAAGTACAGGATTCCTAATGGTAAATATTTGTTAGGTTAAATTTAAGTTACACAAAACCATGAAAAAGCTTAGTCGGATAGAGAAGGATCGGATAGAGAAGGATACTTGTAATTTATCAGCCACTCAAAAAGAGATAAAAAAATTTCCGGAAAACCACGATGAAACCGCAGTGAAGAATCCGGATTTTCACTCGCGCTTTTTTTTTCATCTGCATGCGCATACAGTCATGAAATCGTCGTGAAAATCGCAGCGGGAATCGTTTCCTAAATAGCAATAGAAATCGTCCATGCGGGCAACCCCTAGACACAACATGTCTTCCTCTAAAATAGAGACAACTTTATGGATGATAATGTCAAGAAGAATTTCAAAAAAACGAACAGATGCTTCTCTTTGTTCGTAAAGTTTGTAGTGTAAGCCGAGCGCTAGAAACCTATGTTTGGTCTTCATTTTTTTATACATGTTATGGAACAGCGGACTTTAAGCGCTCGGTTTGTCCCATGACTTCCTGTACAGGACCTCATTTTTCAATATCGCTGTTTTCCAGATCTAACTTCCCTATAGCTCGTCGATTTTTTTTAATTGTACTTTTGATAGTTCTGACCTTTTCTTTCAATACACTCAGGACAATTTGGGGCTAACCCCAGCGACAGCCAACTTCAGATCACATTCTGCTCACATGTCCGCATTATAAGTATCAAGCAGGTGGCATTGTGGACGCTTTCTCGACTTTACATTCACAGCAGGTTGGGATCGACTCATGGTTTAAAGGTTAAAATCGGTCAGGATATTAAGGCACCTCTTCCTTTCCAAAAAGAAGACAATGTTCTTACGATGTGAAGTTTGTTACGAACATCCAAGTATTTGTATCTCAACATTAATTGTCTCTTAATTTCATCGTAAAGCTCAGTTTTTTTCTTTGTCCCATCCTCGTGACAAAACGAAAAATATTTTTCTCTATTTCTTTACCGAGCTCAAAACTTACCATCTCTCTTATCCATCTCTCTTATTCTATTTACGAACATGACGCTATCGACATTGCTGATCCTAGCAGTATGCAGGACGCGTGTCATATGAACTTTGTAACCGTAGAGTCTCTGTGGCTCAGTGATAGAGCATCGGAGCGCGGAATCCGAAGGTCTGAGGTTCGATCCCTCGTGGGAACTTAGAATTTTTTCTTTGTCCCACGCACGTGACGAAACGAAAAACATCTTCCTCTGTTTCTTTACCGAACTCAAAACTAACCGTCTCTCTTATTCTATTTATAAACTAATTATTTATTCGTAATACAGCTTCTTTCAGCGCGAGGGTATGCAGCAAAAGAGCAAACTATTCTGAATTCGGAATCGCCACAGCCCGCTGGCGGCGCTGTATGCCCGCTGTATGTCTTAACTCTTCATGGGGGAATCCTTATTCACGTATACCGCGTGCTATATGTGCTACCGCCAATGTGCAAGTTTTTTATTTGCTGAAGGAAGTATTATCGTTGCGTTACAGCTTGAAACAGGTATGTGTAACTAACCAGTTCCTTGTATCTCAACATAGGATGTTTCTAATCTTCTTCCGGAAGAGTCTAACATTTCCTTTATGTGCAGCTTCCTACAGCGCGAAGGCATGAAGCAAAAAGCGAGTAACTTAAAGAGATTTGCACAAAGATCACGCTCAATTTGTCTTCGTGAAAGAGGAAGTTTGTTTGGTCCGCTCTGGCCTTCGTTACTGCAACAATCACAATGTTGCAGCAGAGACCTGAAGAATTATGATTTAAAAAAAAGGAAATACTTGGGTTTTTTTTTAAAATACAATTGCTAGAACATATAATATGTATTTGTGGTCACGCTCCAGAATCCTAGTATACGTTTGAATATCACACGCAAAACTCTTCAGTAGATAGCAAGACTTTATATTAGTTATTGGGATAAGTATTTCACGTGAAGGGAGCTGAAAGACGATCCAAATTGTCCTGGAACATTTGTTGTCTTCCCAACAACGAAGACAGTTTTTCCCCCTTGTCAGAAGGCCCGAAAATTAGGATTTTACTGTGTAAATATCAAAATTAAAAAAATATCACACAAAATAGTCATAATATCAATTTTAGGTTGAGAAATATCCACAGCATTCTCTCTTAAAATTCTAATAACCCTCCATACAACAAACGTATAATTCATCATGCACGCAGTCTCCAGTAAGGCGAAACTCCAACTAATTCCTTGGAGAGATAATTCACTCCTGCCGTATCGCAGTCCAGAATATGAATTTTCTAAGAAAAAAATTTTTTTTCGTCTTGTCATGAGCGTAAGATAAAGAAAAAGTTCTCAGTCCCCATGAGTGTTGGATGTTCGGGCTTCAAATTTTACGCTCCGATTCTCTCCACCACTGAGCCACATAGACTCTATACGGTGGGCCAGTCCATTCCTAGGGAAGCTGGGAGTTAGAACCTGTAACTGTCTCTTTCTGACCGGGTGGGTTTTCGTTATACCTCGCTCCTGAGTTCTTGACCAGCCAACCTCCAAACCACGAATGAAACGAGCGGCTGAACTTTGGAAGTCTCCAGGCATACAAGAAGGGATTGATAATGGAACTAATGGTCAGAAATTCGTTCGCAACATAATAATAAACATGATAGGCGTAAGAGTTTCGACAGGAACAAAAGTATAAAATCTGTACATGAATGAAATAAGGTACAAATGATACATAAAATATAGAAAGGATGAACACAAATGCCCTAAACATTCTGTTCTCTTTTTCCAATTGTTTCCTTCTGTTGGCCGCTGTGAGACTCTCGCGGACATTTTTAAGTTCCTCTCTTTGACGGGCAACCGCCCTGGATATTTTAACATAAACTGCTGTTAGAATAAATGCTGGAATCACGAAATGAGAGTAGCAGTAAGCCAGCAAAAAGTTCTCTCTTTTCACGTCAGCTATGGGAAGAACAGACATAATTAATCCGTTTATCCAAATTACTGCGATAGCAATCTTGGATTTTTTGTTGGTGATTTTATGAGGATATTGAAAAGGTTTGATCACTGCAACATATCGTTCGTAAGACATCGCCAAGAGCGTTGAAACTGCGGCTAGAATCGAAACAGCTCCGATAAAATATTGAACCAGGTTAACAATGAGCAGGCTTCCCAAACCACGGTAGAAGTGAGTTAATTCGACACCTCGTAGAATGCTCACAATTCCAACTAAAAAATCCGCGACTGAAAGATTGGCGATGAGGAACACATATGGAGTGCGCAAACATCGACAGGGATCTCGGTAAATTGTGATGAGGAGAAAGCCGTTGGCAAGAATGATAAAAGTACCCGAAATGAAGTCAAAAATAGCAAAGATGACAACGTTAGCACCGACCACCTCAGTACTCGGTAAATAGGTAGGCTCCGACAGATTCATGTTCGATGTTTAAAACCATGCCATGAATTCGAAATTATGCTGAACTAATAGTCTCCTGTTTAACAATGGAAACTGAAATCTGTCTGCAGTCCGTTTAACATAAATATCCATTTAACACGCAAACATGCAGCTTTGATCACAGACCCAAGTAATGTGTCCTTGACAGGCTCACGTACAAATCTCCGATGGTTATCTTTTGGTCAAAATATTGAATGTATGCAAAACAGCCGCTTTAAATGTTCTTGACACCTACTTCTGTACGTACTGGCCCCATTCCAAATTTTATTTATATTAGCCTCCTTTGAATCGCTGCATCCACGAAGAATTAAAGTGTGCGCTTAAGGAAGCAAAGATTTAAGACATTTCTGAGTGACGGGAACTTAGAGATGAATAAAACCATTCTCTGACGTTCAAACGCTCTTTGTTTAAAGAAAAATAAAGTTTGTTTTCTTCTAATAACTTTGTACCTGAAATCGGGAATTTTGAAGCTCGGAAATGACCTCTTACACACATACCCGCATATACGCAAATGAATTTCCGTGTAATGATCTTATATGTTCCTTTAATTTCGGTCTCATGGCTGCAAAAAAATCTTCTCGAACCTTGATCACCAAAAGGTGCGAGTGTTTTTGCTCTGATATGAAATTACTTTCCTAAGCAAGAGAAACAACTGACCATGATTCGGTTGAGTACAACTTTCGGAAAGACTCAGTCATAAAACATCGCCGCTGTTCGTCTGATTAAGGAAGTCACCTTACATCACACTGACGTAACATGAATCGAGTCTTTTTTTATAAGAATGAAAAAAAAGTGTCTTATTTTATTTCTTTGTTTTTTTCTTCCTGTATCTACCAGTGTTACATTTACGAATCTTTTCGTTTCTTTCGTTTTCAAAATTGTAAACGCACTATTAATTTTTTACAATTTTTTCGTAACCGTTACAGTAGGTTGGTCTTTTCCAACAGACTCGTTTGATAATATTTCATTTCTTGGTTACATAGACATCGGATCATTCTTGTATTAGGTTTCAATATTGTTTCTTCTCCGCCCACTAAGGACTTGGTAAGGAAGGGACACTCGGTTCAAGAGTTCCTACAAAGCAATATTCAGTGAAAATGATACGTTGATGGTACAATTTGAAGAACACTTACGAATCAAATATGTGCACTTTTGTTTAACTTTTTCATTCATCGTAGTCCGTAAACCCTTTTTTTTTTTTCAATGATCTACATTTCTTTACGATGTAAATATTACATTCACAGAAACGTGCGTAAATAATATTTTAATTTATTTTCAGTTTGTACCATGAAACCATGCAGTAAGATTGAGGCTGCGTTTGACTTCGCTGTAACAGTATAAATACACGCTATACGAGACCTGTTTATAAAATTAGGTATTTTTCTTAGAATTATAACGACAGTATAAATCTGGAAAGCAAATATGTCATACTCTAAATCCGTCGGTAGCGCTCGTCACGAAAAAAATGTGCATCCCTCAAAAAGAATATTAACCCTTTAACTCCCACATCAAAATTGTAATTCTCCTTACTTTCAACCATACCATTCTTATCATGCTAGTTCAGAGAATTTAGTATTGGATCAAGTAATTATCCCCAAATTGATATTTTTCTTTATTCTCATCACTTATCTGGTTGGTATTGTATTGATGGTGTAAGGAGAAATTCTGTCTTGGTCACTCATGGGAGTTAAAGGGTTAAATGAAAACAATATAAACTGCAAGATGTTGTCAGATCAGTTGAGGGGACGTGTTCGCCTTTTCACGCTTTGGGTCAGTAAACTGGCTGCCAAAAAAAACTCAGAGCGAAAAAAGAGAGTCGAAAGTCCTCCTCTGATTGTGTTGTTATTTCGCTTTGTGTTTCCTTCTCCGTTTACAATTTGAACGCTGGGACTCGTATGAAATTTGGTGCAACAACCCACAGCAAAACAGACTGGAACCTCAGGGCAAGCAAGGTTGTGCAGATAAGTTAAGAAATCTTATTTGAAGAATGCATAATACATGATATAAACTCGACCTTACAGTACCACCATTCCATGGTTACTGTACGATACGCAGAATATCTTCGACTTCAGTGGAATATGCTGTAAGTACTGGATTGGGTTTTTGAAGGAAACACATTAGCAACTGTTTTAGGATTGGTGGGAAATAGCTCTCCTTCAGTGCATGACGCAAAAGTTTAAAAGCGGTGCCATGATTCCTAACAATTTCAACGAAACGTTCACTTTTCAATAAACCAAGATGAATAAGAATGCTTTCGCCTATTCGCCATGCGTTACAACTCAGCGTCACAAAAGCTCTCGTAAACAATGCATCAGCACACGATAAAAGTTCTTCCTTGTATCCTTCGAGCGCAAGAATGTCGCAAACCCGTTTGAAACTTTTTCCCGTGTCGCTTTCGGCTTCCTGACATGATGTGGGAAGTACCTCTTTGGTTACCGCAGACGCCAGTGCTCGAAGGCGCAGATGATCCAATCCGAACAACTTGGGGCTTGACTTAGATAGAAAAGAAGCAAAGATGGCGGCAAGATTTCTCGGGAAATAATCTTCAGCGCATAAGTGTTCCAGGGCTAAGAGCGGCCCCGTTAGGTCTGTAATAATTTCCACGTCATCTTCTTGTTTGAGAAGACCCGTTCTCACTAAAATACAAGTTCCCAGGGCGATCGCGTCAGCTTGTGGATGGCAAAGTCCGAGCTTTAACACGGCGCCTGCGCAACTAAGTAACAACCGCCGGTCGCTCACAAAGACAACGCAGACATGGAGAAAAACCTTTGCGATTTTATCTGCGTCCCACGAGCCACACACAGTTATGACTTTCTCTAAAAGCGAGCTAAAAAGTAAATTTCGTTTCTTTGCGCAGTAAACAGAAATGTCTGAATTCTGACAGAAGATTTCTAAAGTAGCCTCAATAAATGACGTAGGAGTACCTTTCATGGTAATGACGTCATCCAAACGCGAAAGATAAATTTCAATGTCGTCTGTAAGGAGACCGCTGTCCGTGCGATCAAATACCTGTTTGATGTTTTCTGAATCCTTGATAGAAATCATGAGATTGTTTAGCCTATTAAGGCCTTTCTCTATAGCCTCATTGTCCATCTCTGGAGGATTTTCTTCACAGAGTTCGATCAAAGTTGGGTCTTCACATAGAGTTGTCATGGTTGTCTGATCATACACGTTCTCGAGTTCCGATATGGAGGTGACCGTTTTCGCATTGCTAAGTGGTGCTGTTGATATCCTTTCTTCTTTGACTTTCAAGTCTTTCAAAATAGGTTCCTTCTCTTGCAATTTCCATTTCGAAGGCGGTGGTAAGCTCTGATGTTGCTTCGGAATCAACCACGATCTCTCTCGAGAAAATGACAAAGAATCTTTCACGCCCTGCAGTAGTTCGACCAGTAAACTCGAACCCGGGTTACACGCAAGAACTTGACTTCTCCCGAATTCGCCGGGTTTTAGGTAAAAATCACACACACATTGTTCTCCAGATTCATCATTCAGTTTTAATGAGGTGCGCGTTGCGAGGGAATGCTGAATAAGTGAAGTAAAAATTAAATCCCGTAAATTTCTTTCGATAGATTTCAGCTTTTTCCTTGAATCCCAATTTGTTAAACCATCTAGTACGTTTCTCTTCTGTGTTAACAGAGCCATGATAAAGTGCAGCGTTTTCAAAGATGCCTCTCTTTTCTCAATCTTGTCTACGAGCTTCAACGACTTCGTATCATCCGTTTTTTTAGAATAAATAGAGGTCCTTTCCACGAGTTTTTCCGCCTTACGTTCTCCGTTAGATATTTGACTGTTTTTAGTTGTGCCATCCTGATAAAGGCTCTCCTCAGAGGTCGTTTCTCCTCCAGAGCGTCGCTTCCGCCGGGATTTATAGTGGAGTAAAATGTCTGCACTTGCTTTCTGGTTAAAATTAAAAGCCAAACCGACGGCCGTGAAACCAAGTTTGTCCTTAATATTTCTGTCACAACCATTGTCGAGTAGCACTTTTAGATTTTGAAGGTTTCCTAGCTTAGCGGCAAGATGGAGAGCGGTTCTTCCCAGTTTGTTACGCTCGTTGACATTGCAAGACGCCGATGCTAAAACGCGCAAGATTTCGTCAGCTCTTTTCTGTTCACTACTGATGTGTAGCGAAGTCATCCCTTCCTGGAATAGACAGTTTGTTAAGATTTCGTAATAGGAGCGTAAGCTGGAAATTCTCTAAGTAAACGTTAGCCTATGAGACACTTTCTACAGTACAGAAATTAAAATTAACTTCAGGTTTCGATCAGGGGAAGCTGCGTATAGTGCCTCTTTAACTTTCCAGTTCAGCACTCACTAGCTTGTTCCAGAATTTCAGTTAGTAAAGTGATACGCGATAGTAAACAGTGCTATAGTGGCGGAGGAGTGAAAATACAACAGAGGTTTGGGTCGGGACGCATATTGTTCTTTACCCGACCCGACCCGACCCGACCTAGACCTCCCTCGCTTTTTTCTTCTCCGCTGAAATAACGCCGTTTGTCTTATTTCTCTCCATTCTACTAACTAAACACCTGGAACAGGCTTAGTACTCACTCTTGTATTATTCAATGCGAGGACTTTTCAGTGATATTAAAATGAGCTTACTTTCGTGCGACTATTGACGTCACATCCTGCCAAAACCAGAATTTCAACGAGATCTCTATTTCCCTGTAAGGTGGCCAGATGAAGTGCAGTGAAACCCATGGAGTCTCGCCACTCGAGGTCGCATGTTCGTGTTGATCCTGTTAGGCTGCGAACGGCTTTGAGGTTCTGTGTAACCACAGCGTTATGGAGGGCAGAATATCCATACATGTCTAGGCAAAAAATAATAATTGAAAAAGGCCTCAAACTTCAATTCTGCACGTTTTGCAAAGCATTGTTTCATGCTAGACCTCCTCAATCTGAAAATATTTCTCTCAAAGCATAAAGAGAAGTCTTTCTGCGTGGAATTAAACGCCGCTTCCCCTTACGCGCTACATTTGCGGACAACAACAGCAACAAATAAACTTGTCGTTATGAACGCCGTTTTGGAGACAGGTGGCTCTGTCAAGACAGACCATTACATCTTAATGTCATCAATATTGACCTTTACAGCCAGAAGATTCTCTCAAAATCAGCCCACGCAAGTTACTCTGCATGTTTCGTTTTCATACTTGTTGTTGCATTCTAGTTAACCTGGGATTACTGAAACACTGAAACGCAAATGTAGTTCCGAAACGTGCAGTTGATAGCATTTTACAACCACAGTTTTACGCATAATCATACGAGCTGTGTTAACTTACTGAGTTCGAAACACAACGTCTTCAAAATCTTTTAACTGATCGATATTGGCATGCGCAGGCTACATGTTAATAATCGCAGCTGCGCGCTAGAGTAACCTGCTTTACAATCACAGTCTGAACGAGGGAAACTAGAGAAGGTTTAGAGATTGTTTCTTATTTCCTTGTTGCTTGCCTGGCACTGGCTATCAACCGAACAGCTCGAATCCTGAAACTACATAATTCTCCTTAAACTTCGTCTATTACGTCCTCTTTAAACTTCTCAAAATTTTTGCATCAATTCCCTCTTTTTTCTGGAAGAAACCAGTTAGATCCTTCATGGGGGGAAGCAATCAGTTCTAGCAACGCCGGAAACTAGTACTATTTCGGGTTTGTTCTAGAACTTCTAGCTACTTCACTTCAGCAGACGGATCAGATGACTACGTGTGGGAATCACGCGCCATCCATCGAACAGCCTCAGGCCAACTGAAACGAAATTAAATGTACCAATTTGGTTTTCTTGTACTTTATATTCATATCATCATTCATTGGATTTATATGTTTATTTTGCCTTTCGGTTTTGGTGTAATACGATGAAACACTACGTCTCCATGCAGTAGTTCCAATCGAAGGTTGATAATCTAATTTGGATAGCCAGGAAAGGAGCACACACGAACATGTTTAGCTATGTCTGTTTATTAAACGAACATCTCTTACGTTTTCGTGTCAGTAAACCGCAAACCGGCCACGAGAATAAGCCATGTTTGTTTCTCGAATATTGAATGTATTTTCACGACAATCGAGCGATGTTCGCTGATTCAGAACGCAGATAAATTTATAAAGGGAATGACGCGGAAACTTCATAACATGAGAAAAGGTCAACAGTGAATAAGCTTTCATAAGATTGTTAGCATAAAAACTTACTGTTTGGAGTTCAGTTCAAGCACCATATCCTGTCAAAAGGAGCCTTTTTGGTCCGTTTTGAACATAATCGTTACTTCATATGCAAATCTTTTAGAGGCACGTACATCCCACGAAAGCATGGCAACAATTTTGCCGAGGCTCGCTCGAGTAACCCCCTTGATCGCTTGAGGAATGTCGTTTTGTCGGTTGAGATCTTTCGTCATCAAATCCCTATTCAAACAATCAACATGATCATTATTTATCGACGTCTTACAATCCTGCTAATGGACTTAGGATAAGATGAAAAAACCAAGGGTGCTGATACTAGATAATTAATCATTAAGTCCAGAGAAATTAATTTGAACTCCATTTCTTTGGCGTGTTTGACATATAAATGTTGTGCCTCTCGAAATAAAAGAAGGCCCTTATTCAACCTGAGTGGTTGTAATACGATAGATTTCAGTGTGTTATTTACGCACAGTGATATTTGAAACGCTCTCTGGCGCATTTTAAGATTAGACATTTTAAGTACAAATTTGGTGGAGTGGATGTCACGCCTTCCGTTGAATCTTAATTTCCTACTTGGAGTTTGAGTACAGTACACATGCAGCGTACAGGGAATACGTTCGCCGATGGGATTTCGCGCGCAAACAATCCCTGTTGTGGCTGTGAACGGAAATGAAGGGTTCGCAGGACGGGAGTCGAGCGAATTGGTTACCAAAGGCGCGAAAATCGCATAAAAGTAGAAAAGAACAAATGCGCGTATCAAACATTTCTCGAAGGTCTCCATTTCGTGAGCTAGGATTTAAAGTGAAAATGCATAAGTCGTTAAACTAACATACGCACACGAAAAAAAAAAAAACAGACCGGCCCCTCAGAGGTAATTGACAGCCCAGCCACTGCAACTTCACAAAAACAAACTCGATGACATCTGAAGAAAGGGTTAAAGAATGGTTTGGGTATGCCACGATTTTAAAAAAATATTACTTCTCTAAGACAAGAAGAAACTAAAAGGTTTGAAATAAGCCAAGAGTTGACAAGGAAGAACACAGATGGACAAGATCGAGCGGACGATCTTGAAAGATTTGGGTTTAACTTCTGTAGTGTTTTGGGAACATAGTAAAAGTACTTGTACTCATGTTAGTAATATCACTGTGATATTGTGGGACTATTGTGATACTGTGGGACTACTGTGATACTGTGGGACTACCGAATGATGTAAAATTACTTTAATCAAGTTGCATGATTGCACCAGCTTATTAGATAGTTGATCAATGAATAAAGACACAATATAGAAAGCAATTAAAGAGCGAGTGTTTCCTCTAAATAAATACACAACTACTTCGATTAACTTTTAAGATGCAAGAATGGCTATATTCAAATTTCCTAGCCTTTTCCATAACTTACGATCAGGGAGCTATAACTCCTTGCCTATGCCATGCCTTGCCTAACCACTACCAGTTAGCTATGGCACAGGTGGGTATGATGAATATAAAAAAGGCATTCCAATGATCCCAAAAAGTTTTTCCGCTGTAGTATACCGTTCTGTGTATTTTCAGGAGCCAGTGAATTGAATTGTATTCAATTTTTTCCCCCGGTTTTCGTCATCTGTTCTCTACAGCAGCTCAGCTGAAATTCTATTGGCCAAGCTAGATTCTTATTATCTCTGTGGCTGACACAGATGGCTGATGAAAGATAACAAGAAAAAAATTATTTTATTGGTTCCCTTAGACCCTTTTTCTTTCCGGAGGCGTGACGGGGCGTGTTCCCATAATTGGAAAAAGATCTGGAAACTAGTAATTGCGTCATCACTTAGTAAGAAACCGCTGGATATGTTACTTTATGGCCTTTTTGGCGCAGCAATGGCCGTCCCTCGTGGTAGTCAATGAGAACTCTTGACTCTCGAAACATGTAAAGAAACGCAGTTTGCTCTCAATTAACACCATGACGAACATGCGTTAAGCACAAAATAAACCAAAGAACAGCAAGCCGACAGTCTTGCCTGAAAGAATGCCTTCTTCGAACATCAAACGCAAGAAAAAGCCGGGACCCACGAACTCTCCGACTTCGAACGGAGGTAGTGGAAATTACACAGAGACGGCAATGGACGAGTTTCTGGCCCGCTTGAACTTGTACAGAAAGCCAATCGCGAAGGATGGCTCCTGTCTTTTTAGAGCAGTGTCAGAGCAAGTAAGTTCCGTCGCTTTGTTTATTAACAGAATGATTTATTAAAGGCATTTTAAGGATTTAACATAACTGTTGTTATTCCTATGTTTGATCGTCCATCACCAGCTCTAGAGACGTTCGAAATTCTGTTTTTCGCCTTCATCAGTGCTTTAGTGCTTTACCTTCTGATAATTTTTTATGTAACTTATGTTTCTGTTGTTCAACAAATAAACCTTCTCTTGGGATGGCCTCGTGATCGAACGTTCAATCGATACGAACGCTACGTTAATCAAATGTTTCACTTTGTTCTTTCACATTAACTCAATTTATAACATGTACATTTAGAAAACTTCCTACGATATTTTTTCTCTTAGCAATTTCTTGTTGCTTTAATTTGTTAATGATGACAGTTTCACCCCAGAAAGATTTAAGCGTTTAGAGTTAATGACAGTTAGTGAATGCACCTACGTATGTAGATCTAAAAATTACTCTGTAAAACGTCAGCTTGCCCGCATTCGGTAACTAAAAATGCCAGCATGCTATCTCTGTTTACATGCGAAATAAATTGCAGGAGTTCAAGTTATGTAAAACTTTTATCCTGTGGATAAACATTTGTTTTAGAAGTCTTGCTTTACTTGTCGTTCTTCGGAAAGAGGAATTAACAAATGATCGATGCTTTTGTTTTTTTCCCTGTTTGTTTTAAGGTCTACAACTGTCAAGCCAAACACCTCCAAGTCCGTAAGGATTGCATAGACTTTATGAGAAGAAACAGGGAGAAGTTTGAAGCGGTAAAGTATTTTGATAGTATTAAGAGTTGTTTACATAAAAAAAATTTCCACAGCAAAGGCAGCTTAGGGTCCAGAGCCCAGTTCTTAAGCAATCAGTGAGTGTAAATCTAGGATTAGATATTAAAGTTGCTTTTTATTTGTCATCTAACCCCTAAGACACATTAATTAGAGTAAGTGAATACTTAACTGTTCAACTTCCAGAAGTGATTAAACCTTTAGCTCCCAAGATCTCACTAGTAATTCTCCTTACTGTCTGCCAAACAATTATCATTATGTTTGTTTGGAGAATTTGGTACCAGATCAATAAGTAATCCTATAATTGATATTTTTCTTAATTCTCATCACTTGTCTACATGATATTGTATAGATATAGTAAGGAGAAATTCTGTCTTGGTCACTCACATGTAACTTCTTCCTATCACATTCTTACATTATCCAGCAAATAGGCAATGAAAATACTCCAATTTATCAGGTAGAAGTTGCGTTCATGATCTAACATCAAATTCTTGTAATTTGTGTACAAGGAAATGTATAGCAGCTAGAGGGAAGAATTAAAAATTATATTTTGGGAAACCACTTCTGGAAGTTATAGGGTTGAAAGCCATGAGATGTCAAGTGCTTGAGCATGAAACACCAAAAGTAATGTCATTGATACTCTCTGCAGCATAGTTTGTCGTACTAATAACTATGATGATTATTGTTCTAGCAACCTTGTGAAGTAACACAATAATCATGGACGCTTATTATTGAAGCCCTGATACATTGATGTAATGTTAACCTTCCAACAATCCTATGTTTTCAGTTTTTGGAAGGACCATTTGATCATCACTTATTCAGACTACAAAACCCAAAGGTACAGTACATGTAAAGTAATTTGCGAGTTTTCCAACATAACAAATTGGATAAGTGTTGAACTTCAAAAAGGTTTTGCACAGGAGAAACACAATCATAACTGCAATAAATACTTAATCCTTTGCACTGTTAGATTAGCGTGCATATTCTCTGTACGGTTTTATATACATTGCCAAGGGGGCTGATAAGGAGAAATTGTCTGACAATCAAGAGCTTCTTCATTTTGGTGATCATTTCCTTTATTCTCATGACCTGAATGTGTGATTTAGAGGTGATATTGTAAGGAGAAATTAGATGCTAGTCAGTCTAAAGGTTCAAGGGTTAAGAGCCGCTGCTATGGTAAAAGGAAATTTTCAAAGACTTGACACTTCAAACCTGCTAAAAAAAAAACTTTGTATACTCAGTCAGAATTTGTTGGCATTTATGATCTGTGAAACTTTCTTGCCTTCATTTTCATCACAGGAATGGGCAGGACAGGTTGAAATAAGTGCTCTTTCACTGATGTATAAGTAAGTAGTTTGTATAGATAGTTGTATATACAAAATATAGGTACTTGACTATCAAATTTGTTGCCTGCTTGTAGAATCTTTGCATACTGAGAATTGAGTTACAAGAGGTGACTGCTAACTTGCATCTGACAAGTGCCTTAGACTACCACTAAATTGTCTTAACTTCAGTTTTCTGGTAATAAAATTTTCTTGTGCTAAAACTTCATCTGGTAGAACAAAAGACAATACAACCTGTTGTTGACTTTATTAGTATAGATGAAGCAGACATAACAGTTTGTTTTAACTTCCAGGAAAGACTTTGTTGTTTATCAAGACATCAATGCAGAACCCACCAAGGTGACTGACAACAATTTCAAAGACAAGGTAATTATCATGATTAAGTGGGATGCTTGTGGTAGACCATGTTCATTGTAATCAGAAATGGAATTTAGTCAGTCATGTACTTGTGCCTCACACTAAGGTTAAGCCCTGTTGGTTGGGGTTTCTCCTTGGATTGGTAACTGTTAATTTTTTTTTTCTCGATTTTATTTTTCGATTTCATTCCTATACTTTGAAAAGTCAGCATTAAATTTGTTATTTTCTGCATAAATGAGCATGTATGTAGATAAGGACCAACACATCCCATGTTAGCACTTCACAGGATCTTGTTATAATTAAAGAACAATGAAAAATCTGTGAACTAACAGCAGAATTTCAATTTATACATTTATGATCAGTGTTTGCCTTTGCAAACACTCTGCTTTTACATAAACCCCACTGATTGGGAGAAGGGTTTAATCCTAAATACCATTATGTATACTTTACAAAGATGTTAATGTATATAGAACTTCTGCCTGCCTGCATGGACTCTTCCTAAGATTGAATTGCAGACACATCATGAAACTAGTCCCAAGTATGGTCATTAATGTTCTTGGCCAGCAATAGCAAGTCTTTGGGTTACCTGGCATGGTGTGATAAAGTACATGTTCTCTAGTTTTCAAATAGGTATACACAAAAGCAGATGTGAAAAGTTCACCTTTCAGATCTTTCACTGTTCACTATTCTCTTCTACATGTCCCTTGATACAAAATGTAACTTTTTTTCAACTCTGTTTTCAGATCCTGCTTTGCTATTCAAATGGAAACCATTATGATGCTGTTTATGACATGAAATTCCAGAAGATCGCAGCCATGTGCCAATGTAAGTGAACTCATAAAACTCAGAAGTTAATAGGCTGTAAGTACTTATAGTAATTATAGCCTATAAATAATAGTAATTACACTTAGAGTGATATTAAACCACAAAAATAATCACACTTCACCATGTGACTCTCCGGATTTAAATAACATTTGTTTGCACTGTCTGCCATACAATTCTTACAATTCTAACCCCGAAATCCTGCGTGAAATCGCAGTTTACCCTCTGATTGTTATTTGCTTCTAGTCTCATCACCCTTATGCTTGAAAATGTTATTGATGTATTGCAAAGAGGAATTCAAATATAGTTACTCTTGGTGGTGAAAAGTTTAACCCTTTTAACTCCCTTGGGTGACTAATACAGAATTTCTCCTTACAATATCAAGCAGACAAGTGGTGCGATTAAAGATAGATATCAACAAAATTAGTTGATCCAATACTAAATTATCAAGCATGGTGAGAATTGTATGTAAGACAGTAAGGAGAATTAAGAAATGAGATCTCCATTCTAAGTGAGAGTGAAAAGATTAAGAGAGTATCTGTGCACCCAGATATTGGTTAAGCTCAGGGTACTTGTATAGAACCTCTTGTTAGGAAGCAGGGGCAATTTTTGTGAAGATAAATTTGTCATATTTTTTAATACAAATCTTGAATGTGAATAACATCCCTCTCTTTGGTGTCATCTTCCACCAATTCAGTTTCTGTGAGTGTACTTACTATAAGGTTTTTTTTTTTTTTTAAATGCTCATTTATGGGTCATGTGAACATATGTTAGTGTTTTTCAATAAAGTGGGTAAGTTTCTAGAGGAACTGTAGTGCTGCATGGGTATTGAGTGTCATAAGATGATTAGGCTTTATCAACTGAGTTAATAATGTAATTTTGCCACAGTAGAAAGTTTCTACATCAAGCATTAGCCCTTTGTCAGAGCAATAGCCCTTCGTTCTTCCCTCTGGTGAAGAGTGATTGCTTGAAATGTCAGCGTTAGAAACTGTTAATAGTAGCCAAATTACATGATCAGCTCAGTTGACCAAACCAAATTTTTTTAGTATTTTGTCAGTTTTTATTGTTTGCAGTATTTCTGACTGGTCAGTACCTATTTACCATCTTAACATATTCTATTGATTTTCTTTACTGAAGCTGTGGTATATGAGCTCTTGTATCAGAACGTGTTTGGAGAGCTGGACAGAAAATGTGGCTCCAGACAGAATTCTCCTGGTGATCTGAACAGCATGGGAACAACAAACTTCTATCAGAATGGCCTTGGAGATGAAGGGTCTTTCAAGGAGGATGGAGAAGACAACTCTGGTTGGACAGAGGTTGTTAGAGGAAAAAGTAAAGGTATGTTGCTGCTGAAGACATCAATCTGAAAATGCAGGGATTGGATCTGATTTAGAAGTTTGCAACTGCTTTAACCCTTTCACTCCCACAAGTGACCAAGACAGAATTTCTCCTTACAGTGTCAATACAATATCAAGCAGGCAGGTGATGAGAATAGAGGAGAATATCAATCATTGGATTATTAGTTGATCCAATACCAAATTCTCTGAACTAACATCATAAGAATTGTATGGCAGATAGTAAGGAGAATTACTAATCAGATCTTGGGAGTGAAAGGGTTAAGGCAATTTTCTGCATCACAAAGATGTTGAAAATTGTGGTGATGTTTTTGTTGCTCAAAGGCACTTTACCATGAACACATAAGCTGTGTACATGTAAGCTAAATAGGTTTGTGCAGTTCTCATAGTTTTTTTATTTTTTTAGTCTGAAAGCTTTTGTAGAAAATGGCAAGATGTGGTTTGAAAAGGGGTTAATATTCAGAAAACCTTGCAGCCCTACCCTCATTGTTCTCCAGAAGCACCAGTAAATGGCATTTTTATGAACAACCTGTTTCTGTTGTGCAGGCTTCTTTACTATCTTCTTCAAGTCTTGTCTTGATCTGAAATACTCTCAGACTTAATATTTTAGCCTAAGCATTATTTTTGCCCATTCCCAAAAAGATTGATTTTGGGTAAAACTGGTAAGGAAACAATCGGCAAAAGCAAAGGGGGAATACATTGCAAATGCTGACAGAAGACACGTAGATGCCTTTGCCCTTTGGACAGTCTCTTGTCTGTGCCAGCTGCTGTTATTTTTTCAATGGCTGGCCATTCAAAAATATTTGGAGAATACAGTGTACTCTAACAGATTGCTGATTGCTACTGCCCTGGCAACTTTGCATGGAATGGTTTGTGAGAAATTTATTGCACTGCATAAACTGAGCTGCATCCTCTTGGTCTCTTTTTTTCAGCAAAATCTGCTCGTCAGAACAGAGGTTATGATCAAGAGGAACTCAGGGAAGAGCCAGCAAAACCAAACTTGGATCAGAAACATGGATGGCAAGCCAAGAGGTCTCTAGACAATGAACTGTACAGGAATGTCGAGCTGGAAGTGTGGGAGGATTCTAAAAATGGTAATTGAAGCTATTTCATGCATTGCTAAATTTTTCTTTAGGATGCAGTGTTAGTATTTTTTGACTGTTGTGTTCTGTGTGCACATAGCTAATTACATTTGAAAATTTGTTTATTCAGCTCAAGAACAGCAGGATCAGTGTTTTGCAGCAAGTATTCAGTACCAGCGAGGAGATAAATGCTTTGTAAGTACACTTAATATCATATACTGTATGATCTTATGCCACACTGGAGTGTTTCTCCAATCTCAGAGAGAGTTGATAATGACGTTATTTAAGTGTCTTTCCTTTGTGTGTGTGTGTGTGTGTAATTTAGGCATGGTTGGGGCCACCAGAAGCTCCAGACAAAGTTTATGAGGCCTTGGTTGTCTATAGCCTTCCACTCCAAGGAAGAATTGAGGTGAGTTGATTACTATCTTCAACCTGCAGCAAAGAGGTCTTCTAAGGTGAACAGGTTTTCCATTTCATCTATCTATTTTTCTTTTTGATATTTTCAATGTTTCCAAGTTCTGTACTTTTTTTAGCAGTTGCATGTAGTTCATTACATTGTATCACTCTTCTTATTTATTTTAAAAACCTTTTAATCATCATTTATTTTCCAGGTGGAGGTTCCAGAGCTTCAAAATAAACGGTACCCATTTTAAATTATTTTATTGTTTACTTAATTTTGTTTTGATCAATTTCTGTGGTCTTGTGAGGGTTCTTTCTTAACACTGGTAATTCTGACAAATACCATTTTCTTTATTTCCCAAACACTGATTGTGAGAAGATGACTCAGACTAAAATGTATCCCTTTGTGCATATGTAGATTTTAAATAGAATACAGATTAAGTGGGATCAGAAAAGTATGATGATTTATTGTGTTGTCTAAGAATTATGATAATTTGTCTGAAACATAGGTTGTACAAATTGAAGGACAGGTATTTTAAAATACTTTTGCCTTAACCTTCTAACTCCCATGAGTAACCAAGACAGAATTTCTCCCTATAATATCTATACAAAATCAACCAGATGAGTGATGAGAATAAAGAAAAATATCAATTTGGGGATAATAAGGTAAATTCAATATTAAATTATCTGAGCTAACATTAAAAGAATTGCATGCTTGACAGTAAGGAGACTCACAAATTTGATCTGGGAGTTAAAGGGTTAAGGTAACTTAAAACTTGAATATATATATATATGACATGTGGTTAGTCATCAGTCACTCACTTGCATGTCTTTTATTTGCCTGTAAACTTTTTCTTTCCTTTATTTATTTTTTGGTTTTATTTTTGTCAGTTTTATCATTCCTCTGGAAAACTTGAAGCCCTCTGATAATCAACAAGGTAAGTAAAAAAAAACGTAGTGTCCTGACTGAGGACTTTGTGCCCATGTAGTATACACCATGTGTGTGGGGAAAGATGGGAAAATTGGCACTAGAATCAAAGTTTTCTTTCATCAGGATCAGGAATGAAATCCTGATTTGTGTTTTTTCTTTCTCCAGAGTTGAGTTACAGAGATTTAACTGGCTACTACAAAAAATCTGAATCCGGAGGTCCCTCTTATGTTGATGGTGTGTTTGCCCCACAATTAATTCTTTTTTGTAGCATATTATTTTCTGACTGACTTGCTTTGAAATTTACAATTTGTGGGGAACTATACTTGTGAATCAATGATTAAACAATATTTTGTAGTATGATTTAACTTAGAATTGCTGTACTGATCTCTATAGGTTTGCGAGATGACGGGAAACGAGGAAGGAGAAGGAAT